AAACTTCAAAGGCTCCAGATTGGGCCACTGGCTAAATGTACTAATGAGTTGGAAATGTATAAGACATTTGATAGAGCTAATGTAAACACGATCTATATGTTATATAACTATGTTAAACAACTAATTAAATGACAATTGTGATAAATAATTAATATAATTCTATAGATTAATAAATAGAAAAAACTAAAGTTGTTAAAATAATATTAAATGAAATGATAATATGCGTTTTTAAAACGCCCTTATAACAGGCGAAAGCCTTATACGACAATAAATAATTTCAATTTCAATTAAAAAAAATTATATATATATGTATATATATGTGTGTGTGTGTGTGTGTGTGTAATAATTATATTATATGGTAATGTAAGTTAATTAAATTATGAATATTGTATTACTAAAAATAAATATTCAAAATTCTGAATATATATATATATTCAGAACATAACGTGAAGACTTAAGCTTTAGTTTATTTAGCTTATACGTAAATCCAATTCTGATAATACTTATAAATTTCAAATTGAAATAAGGCTTTGTTATATAAATATTATGAATAAACTATTTTATTATAATTTTAATTAAATAAGCTTTTAAGAAATAAGACAATTCTAATATTTATAAAATCTTTCAAAATTGTATTGCAATTACAAAGACTATTTTAATTTTAAATTTACAAGAAAATTCTTTAAAAAATTTTTCACAATAGATAAACAGAAGAAAATACAAGGAAAACAGAAGAAAGTGAAGAAGCCTTGTGTTTTCTTCTGTTAACTTATTGTGAAAAAATTTTTAAAGAATTTTCTTGTAAATTTTATAACTATCTTCCTGGCTATTTACTAGTTTTTACTAGTTTTATTAATGTTATTATTGTATTTTTTAATTCTTATTTCTCAAAAATTACTCATTAACAAGTTTATAAAAATTATTTACTATTTATAATAATAAAAAAAGCAAAATTAATATCATTACTTAAATCTTATCAACAGAATATGATCTTTAAAGAATGTTGAATAGGTCTAGACGTGAATAATGTATAATATTAAATCAAATAAAACAATTTTCTACATGTTGTCGCCCATTCTGTATATAGAAAGGTTTATGAATATTTTATATTATAAATATTTAAATTATGTCTCTTAGGTTTATGAAGTAAACTCTCTAGTCAGCTCATCTTAAGCAATGCACCTATAAGACTTCATACTAAAATTTCTACACGAAATTTTGCAAACATAGAAACAAATATAGAATTAAATGAAAAATTTAAATAATCGATATTAAATCAAGTTGAAGGATTTTCGTTTGACACAAATCACTTTATATAGATTTTTTTATGACAATTTTATTCGAATATTTGTTGTGAAAAGTCATGATTTGAATTATTGATGACGAGCAATAATGTAACCATAATTTCATATTTTTGATGTATATTGCCTATAAACATAATTAGTTTAATCCAGTAGCTGTTCTAGTAGGTTGATAGTGGTATAGTATATTGGGGTCAGGCCTTTGGAGGACCCTTTCGGTTAATTACATCTTGATAAAGGAATATATTACGCAATTTTGTATGGAATATTTTGATGTGCATATTATATATGTTTAAATGTATAATATAAGCTCAAATGTTTAGCTCATTTATATTTTACGGGCTTTATTGTTACGCGGGGGGTGGAAATCTTTGACTTTCCAATCAATGAGACTTTTCCTAATGTAGCTAAAATAAATAAATAAATAAAAACGATGGAATTAAATAAACATAATATATAATTAATGCATATTTAAGGCTTTTTCTGCAATAAAACATGAAGATTTTTATCGTTCTAATCTCTGATATTGTTCTCATACATCAAATAATTTGTGTTATCTGTTGTATATCAAATCAGAATGTGATTATAGTGATGGAAATTCCAGAGGATGACTTAATTGTTGTCATTCCAGCCCCATTCTTTATAATGTGACATTGCTACTTTTATCAAAGAATTATGTTAAGCTTGAAAATTACAATTACACAAATTGAGTTATATTTTACATAATAAAAACTGATTATTCTAGTCAAATTTACAATATATTTAATTTTAATTAATATTAAATAATATTTATGCTCCCATTATTATTATTATTATTATTTTTAATGAACTTTTTGTTACTAGAGATATTAAATTATAAACTTAGAAAATAAAATAACATTATTTATTGATTTCAAAATATTAATATATTTTTAATTTTCTTAATTAAAAATAATTCTACAATTAATTTGAATTTTATAATTTAATGTAACTTTATAAATCAATTTTAAGTAATAATTTATTTAAACGT